ATTTTCCCCCCAGAAATTTATAGAGTTAATAATACCATAGTTTCCTTGGTACCACTTTTTCTAGTTTGTTTTACTGCAGGAACCTAGCAATAGTCAAATTCTTTCTCCGTGAGCTACCACTCACTGAAAAAGAAATATTTCAAAGCACAAAAACACTGATGTTAATTCCTTCTGACAACTTAATAAAAAGGTAGCAATTTACTCACAACATATTATCAAACATGGAAAAATATGGCGGAGATAAGAACTTTTAACACACATTCACAGGGTATTTTGTGTCATGGAGTGTGTCAGGAGAAGGGCAGTGGGGTTTACCGTAAGGGTAGGAGACTTCCCCGGGTGTCCCTTGGGTGAGTAATAAGACAAATGACTCACCACACACATAACATAGTGACAACTACTTTGAGAAAGAGAAGCCTGAGAAGATCACCGGAGATCTCCTGTGAAATCACAGAAGGAGGGGACACACCCAGTGGAGGGTCAGGGGAGACTTCCTAGGTAAGATAGTGCCTGGAATGAGAGAACATGCAAATACAGAGAGAGAAACTGAGCATCCCAAGTTCACCGGAAACGAAAAGGTTCAAGTGTGGGGCTGGTGAGAGATAAACGGGGCCGTAGGCTAGGGCCAAGTCTTGAGGACCGTATACATCAGGCTAAGAAGTTTGGATTTGTTCGGAGGCGAAGGGGTCCCACTGTGAGATTTTCAGCCAAGCGGGGGATGATTAGGGGAGAATTATGAGTATCGTGTCAGGTTTACAAGGTAGGGAGATCAGTCAGGAAGCAGGAAGAGAGTGGATTGCAGATGCAGGGCTGAGATCAGCAAAACCGGTCAGTGGCTGTTATAGGAAGCCAGTAATCTAAGCAACAGTAACCCAAACATGATAAGTGCCTGAGGTAAGACAGTGGTAGGGGAAAAGGGCGGGAAGTGAAAAAATACTTAGGAGTCAGGATCACCAGGACATAGCAATCAACAGAAGTGATGTGTCAGTGAGACAGAGGGAGCCCGGGTGCTTCCGGCTCCCGGTCTGCATGGTTAACTAAACAACGATGTCAGAATGTCCCTCGTGACTGAGCACGACAGGCTTTTCACACATCATTATAACAGCACCTGATGGTTTAAAGATCGGAAATTAAAATAATACTACGACTGCAGGAGTGTCAAACATGGTAGGTTCTACTCTGTAATGTTAAAAAGTAAACATTTAGCTCCAACACTGAGCAAAACACTGTGCCCCTAAGACTCATTACAGCCGCGGACAGCTCCTCCCGGGGAACCTGCGGCCACGAGGGGGTATCCGGGATTCTCTGCATGCACAACAGGATCAACTCCCCTCCTAGGCAGACGCCTCCCCTGCAATCAATACTCTAAGATCTAACCAGATGGGACGTCCCCCTCCCAAAGCCTTCATAAGCACTGGGGGAACCTGCTCATATTACAGGATGGTTACAGCTTTAGGTGAGGTCTTGGCTGGGCTTCCGCGTTTCTCTTTTTTTTTCTTTTTATCTTTTTTTTTTGCGGTACGCGGGCCTCTCACTGTTGTGGCCTCTCCCGTTGCAGAGCACAGGCTCCGGATGCACAGGCTCTGCGGCCATGGCTCACGTTTTTACACTGACTCTATAAACCAGTGTTTCAAATTCTTTTTTATCATCCTGCTGGTTCCCTAATTAATGGGTTAGGTAAATCTTTGACACATGCTCCTATATTTTTAAAATGATACTTTGACAAAAACAGCAAATTTCCCATACCCCACTTTTCTGTGTAAAATATAGTAGGCATAAGCCTGAGAAGACTTCACTTGTCTTACGAAAAGTCTCACCATCCAAATATGCTTACCAGTAAGGAATTTTTTTTTAATTAATATTTCTGTGAGCGGTGTTTCACCTTCCGGAGCCCAGTGAGTCTTCCAGTATCTCAATCTCTTCTCAGGCATTTCCATTACCTCCGAGGGTTACTTAAGTCAGCCTGAGAGAGGGTCTCAGGTCTTTGAGAGGCTCAGCTCAGCCTACCAACCATCACCTTGTAACATCTGGAGAAAGGGTTCAGAATAAGTCCAAACTGTTCTACACGGCCTTCAGTCTTGCCCCCCACCTATGATGAAGCACAAATAATAAAATTGCTTGGGACTTTGACCACTTGCAAGTCTCAGGTCCTCGGGGAAGTCACCTAATTAATCTTCGCGGCCCTCATGTTACACATTAGCAAAAGAGGGCGACAGCATATTCCCTGCAGGGCTGCTCAGAGGATAACAACGAGCCTGGCTCACTCTAGCTGGTCCGCAGGTGTCAACTCCCTTCATCTAAAAATTGGAATTTTTTCCTACGGGACCTGGACGAGGCGACAAAGGCCCCTCCAACTCTCAGGGTTTCTTCCCCATAAAAAGTTTGTTAAATGCTTTGGCAGAACTCAAAAACACCCTGAGACGGTGACTGACGTGAAATGCTGGATTTAAACTGTTCGACAGAGAACGTCTGACGCCCCCACTCTACCGGGTCTTCGAGTAGTTCACCTTGCGGAGCGAACACGTGCCTTTCACACGCCCTCGGCTGCCTCCCCGCCTCCGGCCTCTAAAGCCGGGTCAGCCGGTGCTCCCGCCAACCCCGCAGGGCCCTAGGGCAGAGCCACACGCCTCCCGCCCCCGGCCCCGCCCCGGCCCCGCCCCGGCCGCTGACCCGACCCAACCTATCACTCCCGGCCCCTCCCCCCGCTCGGGCCCCGCCCCCGGCCCCGCCGCTACCTGTCGCCTTCAGGCCCCGCCCCAGCCCGCCCTCCCCGGGCTCCGGCCCCGCCCCTGGCCCCGCTCCAACCTATCGCGTTCAGGCCCCGCCCCGCCCCGGCCCCGCTCAGACCTATGGTGTCCCGGCCCCGTCCGGGAGTCAGTCCCCACCCCCACACCCCGCCCTCAGTCCCGCCCACGCCCTGGAGCAGCCATGGCTGGAGTGGCCGGAAGGCTGGCGCGGCTGTGGTGCTCGGGCGCTCTCAGCAGGTAAGTGCCGAGCCCGGGCCCAAGGTCGCCCTCGGACGCCGCCGTGCTTGCGGGGGGCGCGCTGTCTGTTATCGCATCTCGGTAGCAGCAGGGTTTGCGGGCTTCCAGCAGAGCGTGACGTCAGGTGTCCCTCTCCCGCTCGCCCTCCTCTGGGCCGCAGGGTCAGGACGGCCGAGCTGGGTCTCGTCGCGCGCGTCCCCGCCCGCCCCCGCCGCCGGGCTCCGAGATGCTTTGCTGAGTTGGGGGGGTCGCGTGAGCGGCCGTGCGGGCTCGTGCCCGCCGTGGGAGCGTGCCCCCAGATCAGGTGGGGGTGACCCGTCTGCTTCGTGGAGAACGTCCTGCCTAGTGATGGTGGCGGGATGCACAGCCGGGCCACGTGGAAACCAGAACCGGGCTGTACACCGGCAAGGGGAAAACCTTGGAACGTGCCGGTTGCCTTCGGGGGTGGAGTTATGATTTTTCCGATTTTATATATTAAGCGGTCGTGTTTTGTAATTTTTTAAAAACTCTATTTTAAAATAAATAAGTTTGCACCATATTTTGTGAGAACTTGCACATTTCGCCCTTTATATACATTTTAAGTTTTCCTTTCATTTTCTGCTTGTAACTTGCCAGGTGCCAAATTCATGTAAGATGCAGTTTTTTCCCTATTTGAAAAAAAAAAAAACGGATTCAATTATTTAATGTAAAACTCATAGAAGGCTAATTTTACTGAATGAGGCTAATTCAAGGTTTGAACCTACTCTTTGAAAGTTACATTATTGCAGAGGAGGTGATACATTTGTTAGGTTTGGGCTTTATTTGTAACTATTATTTTAATCATCTTTGATGCTTTTAACTTTATTACTCAGGGTCATTTGTTGTGAAACAACAGTGTTGTTTGTTTGTGACCTCACTGCTGTGCATTGATGCTTTCCCCTCCCCTCTGCTTACTGTGTGTGCTTAAAAAGCTAGTTACCTGGTAGCACTTGCTGTCTCTGCTCTGCACCTGGCTCATTAGACATCTCTGGGTGTTAGGTTTGGGCTTTATTTGTAACTATTATTTTAATCATCTTTGATGCTTTTAACTTTATTACTCAGGGTCATTTGTTGTGAAACAACAGTGTTGTTTGTTTGTGACCTCACTGCTGTGCATTGATGCTTTCCCCTCCCCTCTGCTTACTGTGTGTGCTTAAAAAGCTAGTTACCTGGTAGCACTTGCTGTCTCTGCTCTGCACCTGGCTCATTAGACATCTCTGGGTTAGGGGTGAGTATGTCTGCTCAGCAGGCTTCACAGCCTAGCATCCAAGGCAGGTAGATTTCCCCCAGGTAGGTCTTTCACCTCCCTAAGAAAGAAGTGCTCTCTATCTGGAATGCCAGCAACTGCTCATCTCTGCTCTGAACATTTCTTTTTTTTTTTTTTTTTTTTTTTTTTTTTTGCGGTACGCGGGCCCCTCACTGCTGTGGCCTCTCCCGTTGCGGAGCACAGGCTCCGGATGCACAGGCTCAGCGGCCATGGCTCACGGGCCCAGCCGCTCCGCGGCATGTGGGATCTTCCCGGACCGGGGCATGAACCCGTGTCCCCTGCATCAGCAGGGGGACTCTCAACCACTGCGCCACCAGGGAAGCCCTCCTCTGAACATTTCTTACATCTTCATTTTCCCCTCCTTTCACCTGTGTGTGTGCTGGGACACACATGTTTGCTGAGCAGAGTAAGGAATTGACCTGATAAAAGTTTATACTTTGTTGATCAGTGACTATGTGACTGAGCAAAGGGCTTATGTGCCTGAGGGGCAGAAAACCAAATTCTGACAGCAGGAGTTTGCAGCAAAGTAAGGATTTATTGCAGGGCACTAAGCAAGGCAGTGGGAGGACAAGCCTCAGGTCCACTCCAAATTGATCTTTGTGTTACAGGCTTTTTTTTTTTTTTTTGAGGGGAAGAACAAAGAAGCTGAAATTAATTATCCTCTTGTGACATTTATTAATCATTGCGTGTCTCTGGTTTATAACTCTCTGGCCAGGTGGTCCATGGCACAGGGGTCTGTGAGTTCGTCCGGCTCTGCAGAAACAACCTGAGTCTGCACGTTAACAATGATGTCTATAATAGCAGTTTTAGTACAAAAACAATGTTATTGACAGCAGCAATTTTATTCATCTGACTCTGGTTGATTAGTGCTCAGTTAGCCCAGGATTGAGGTCAGAGGAGACAAGAAAGGGAATAAAGTTTTGGACAGAGGGATGACTCACAAACTCGGTAAGGAAACTCGGTTTTAGGGGGGCTCAGTTTCAACTGCAGAGGCTGTTTCTGGACCTTGGGGCCCAAATGACTGAATTCTTTGTACTTTACCCCCTTGGTCTCAGTATCTTTATTTTGTCTGGGGGTGGGGCAGGCATATTAAACTCAGAGACTGAGATTGTCTTTGCCACTGTTTTATTTAACCCAGGTTCACTGTGGGAATAGTAATAATTTCACAAGCCAGTAGCATACAGGATAATGCCTCTTCATAAGGCAGTAAAGAGTTTTGACTTTGCCATCCAAGAGCTGATGTCCAGCTGCCAGCCCACAAGTAAAAGTCCCTTGATGCTGGAGCAGGTTGCTGGTGTGGCCAGGCAGGCTGATTCTTCGGTGGCCGCTACATGGCTTTCACCACTGCTGATCGAAGAGTCCCCTTTACCATGGCAGGAGCTAGTGCCCCAAGGTCTTGGAGAGCTGTTTGGATCAGCAGAGGGGAGCCTTGCCCAGACTGACACTCTCGGACGGTCCTCACAAACTCTGGGGATTTATAGTCTCAGTGACCCCTCTGCATATAGTCACTTCATCTGCTTTTATCAGTACATCCCCTGCAGGACCCCTCAGACGCTGAGCTCCGAGCGGCTACCAGCCAGGAAGATGAGATGTCAACCTGACACAGCTCACATCATTCTTATATCAAAACCCCTTCACTTCTAAAAACAACTTTTTGGGTTTTTGCTTTCACTTCAGTTGTACGCAAGTGGCTCTGCAATCTTCACACCCCGCGCAGCACTCCGGGTCTCCTCCATCCCACAGGCCTCTACTGACTTCCTGCCCGTGGCACAATTCCACGGCTCCCCGGCTTCTGGCTGCTTTCTCTCTGATTTGAAGGCTACATGACTGCCGTTAGCTTCGGTACTGATTTCTTATCTCGGGACAGTTTTGGAAACCACTAACCATTCACAGCCAGGTGGCTGGGGAAGTATAGGGAAACTATTTCTGGAGAAACGTAGCATTTTGGCGTGTAAGGGCTGGGAACGATTAGCAGTCAGCCTGCCTGTTTGCAGTCCTCTGCAGGTCACTCGTTTCCCGGCACTTCAGCTGCACTTGTGTGGCCCAGCAATGAGAGCCAGCCAGGAGGACTTTGAAAATGCCACGAATCAGGTGAAACTCTTGAAGAAGGATCCAGGAAATGAAGTGAAGCTAAAACTGTATGCACTGTACAAGCAGGTAAATGCCTAAGGTGCGATATAAAGGCATTTTGAGCGGATAGGTCCTCAGACAGACGTGCTGTGTGTTGTACTAAAATGCAGCCTTAATGCTTTTAGGGATTGTGTTGCTGCCTTTCCTACCAAGAGTGTATACGTGAGAGTTTATTATATTAGACTTCAAAATATTATTAAGGCAAAAAGTAACTCCTCAGGACCACTCCAGAGTAAAAGAGACTTAAAAGATATAACAACCAAAGGTGTAGATCTTATTTGGCCACTAATTAAAATAAATCAGCTGAAGAAGTGCTCTTGAGACAATTGGGGAAATTTGATTAGAAACTGAGTATTAGGTGTTACCTAGGAATTATTCTTAATGGCATCATGGTTGTATAAGAAAATGTTTTGTTTTTGTTTTTGTTTTTTTTTAGGAATGCATACTGAGTACCTAGGGGTAAAATAGTATGGTGTTTGGCATTCTCTCAAATAATGAAGCGAAAAAGGAAAGAAAAGGGTGGATGAAGCAAGTATGGCAAAAATGAGCATTACTGAGTTTGGGTGACGAAGATTGGGAGTTCATGACAGTATTCTACTTTTGTATATGTTTGAAATTTTTTATTACAAAATTTTAAGACTCAAGTTTTTAAGTTACAATGTCTGAAAAATGTCCTGGGAAGCCAGCCCCTCTGGGTTCCTGTGTGTTTTCTATTTTTCTCTTCCTGTGACGCATATGAGCCTCTCTTACTTTCATACTGGTGTGTATAGTAAAGAACTTAACTTTGCCCCCAAAGAGGTCTGACCTTCGCCCTTGGCTTCTGGGAGGTAATTTCTAAGCCCTTGAAATGCCAAGCGCGATAGAAGTGTCTTTGTTTGCCTGTAGAGCCTAACAGTGCTATTTAGAGTAGGGGCTGCGATTACACTTTAATCATGCCGAGGTGGTGGAGCCCCAGTGAAAACTCTGAACACTGAGGCTTGAATGAGCTTCGCTCGTGGGCAGTACTCTGTGTGTTGTCACTCATTAGTCTGGGACTGGAAGAGTACGCTGTCCTGACTCCGCAGTGGCCGGTTGGCGGCGGCCTGGGGTGTCACACACACACCTTCCCCAGATTCCACCCTCTGCATCCTCCCTTGCTGACCTTAATCCGTATCCTTTCCCCCTAATAACCAGTAACCAAGAGTACAGCAGCTTTCAGTACATTCTGTGAGTCATTCTAGCAGATTATTGAACCCGAGGGTGGTTTCGGGAGCCCCCCAATCTCGCACTTGGTGTCAGAAGTGGAGGGGGGCAGTCTTACGGCCTGCGTTGCCTCTAATTTCTCAGATGGCTAACTCTTGCGAGGTGAGTCTTATCTCTCTTTCTTTGGAGAGTCTTAGCCTCCTTTGCTGCCCTTGTTTTTCAAAGCCTCTTTCTTCTTTCCTCTTTCAGCTAGTTATATTACAAAGTTGAAAAGCATGGTTATTAAATGGAGTTTTAAATCGCCATCTCTGAAAATAACTGAGTGCGTATTTTTTTCATCTCAAAACACTCAGTGCGCCTCCCCTCAAACAAGTAAACTTTAGTTGCTTTTTGGTTTCTGCTTGCGTGTCCTTCAGTTAAGTGTCCTAAGGGCCAGCGGCTCTGATGACCCCACCCCTGCCCCCTCGTACGCAGCTGCAGCTGTGTTGCTCAGTTATCAGATATCTGCCATGGAACTGGGTTGGGGAGGGTGTTTCTTTTGAATGGGCTTTCAGAATACACTGTGTGTTCAAAATGTTTGTGGGCGAGTTACCTTTGAAGATTGTTTGCTTGAAGATTTTGATCATGTATGAAGAATGTGACCATCGCTAAAACTAATGAACGATGATGATTTTTTAAAAAGTATTCAATACTTTCCCCAAACCCTAATCTTGTGTTATTTTCATGCACAGGCAGTTATAACTTATTTTAGGGACGGATAGCCAATGGCATATTTTGTCCCTCCAGTCTTTTTTCTCTTGCTTGTGCATTTTTAGCAACAGCATCAAAGGGAGAAGAAAATTCAAATAAATTTATGTACCTTGGGAGGGAAAGGTGCGTTCACGCTAGCGTGCATCTTATGGGTCTTAACTATTTAAGGCTCCAGTTTGCATGGGCGTTTGACCAATAATTGCCCCTCTCCTTTTCACAGGCCACTGAAGGACCTTGTAATGTGCCCAAACCAGGTGTGCTTGACTTTATCAATAAGGCCAAGTGGGATGCTTGGAATGCTCTTGGCAGTCTGCCCAAGGTACATTTACTTATCATTCTGCTTTTATTCCATTTGCTGTGCTCCTAAAGGAAGGGGTTGCTTCTGATTATTAAGCCTTTACAGATGAGCCTTCTAGATCTTGAGACCCCTCTACCGAACCAGAATCTCTGTTCTTTCTTCATTGCCAGGAAGTTTCTCAGAATGCTTGTTCACTGACCGTGGGCTGAAATTGTCATCTCTCTTCAGGAAACCGCCAGGCATAACTACGTGGACTTGGTGTCCAGTTTGAGTGCTTCATCTGAGTCCTCCATCCAGGTGACACCTGCAGCAGACAGGAAGCAACCAGGAAGTGACGCCCTGGTGGTGACCTCCCAAGATGGCATCACAACCATCACATTGAACCGGCCCGACAAAAAAAATGCACTCACCACTCAGGTAACACGACCTGCCCTAAGAGTCCGTCTTGCTTTTCTTTTCTTCCTCTGTCTGTTTCACTCAAAAACTATAGTGTGTCAGCATCCTTCCTGTTTCTGTGAGAGCTCATGTTTGATTTGTACAGAAGATTAATGATTGCGGCTACTTCATACAGCAGAGTGGGACATTCGTTATTTAGAATTCGTGAGCTTCGGGTAGGTTCTGCATGCCCAGAAGGCACTGCAACTTTTCTGATGACGGAAACACAGATAAATGATGTGAATATAAATGAAACACATGTCACAGTAAGAGAGGATGCGGAGGGCTTCTCTAAGGTTGGCGTAGACGCTCCCTGGACATATCTTCATGTCACTTAGACTTGAGAGTGGGTACTAATCTACTTGCATGGAGCTTTATTTTGTACAAGTAGAGGGAAAAAGGAGAGAAGAACTTAAATAGATCATAACCCAGCTCTGCTTGAAATGAGCTGCTTCACAAGGGCACTGTTAGTCTTTGAATCGGTCATTGAACTAGAACAATAATAGAAATAACCCCTTCCACAACCTAAGCATCCATCAATGGATGATGGACAAAGAAAACATGGTACATATACACAGCGGAATACTGTTCAGCCATAAAAAATTGTGAAATCTTGCCATTTGTGACAACGTGGATGGCCTTGAGGGCATTATGCTAAGCGAAATAGCTTAGAGAAAGGCAAATACCGTATGATCTCACTTACAAATACAGAGAACAGCAGATTGGTGGTTGTCAGAGGTGTGGGGTGAAGGGGGTCAAAATGTACAAACTTCCAGTTATAAGATGAAAATGTCACAGGGATATACTGCACAGCACAGTGACTATGATACTGTTTTCCGTGTCTAAAAGTTGCTAAGACAATAAATCTTAAAATTTCTTATCACAAAGAAAAAACATTGTAACAATTTGTGGTGATGGACATTGGCTTATTGCAGTCATTTTACAATGTATACAAATATTAAATCATTATGTTATACACCTGAAACAAACATATGTATCATTTAAAAAAAAAAATAAACCGAAGTTTAAGGAAAAAATAGCCACTTCAGCCCTTTCCCCTTGACAAAAAAAGTAGAGAATTAATTGGATACTTGGTGCTGAACTGGGAGTAAAATTCAAAAGGGCTGTAACCCCTTTTCATTGGACGTATCACCTCTATTGTAGTAGAAAAAGCACACTACCTTAAAATAGTCTTAAATAAGGATCCCATGAAGTTGGATATGCACTATGCAGTTAACAAAGCACTCGAGTCTCAAAACATTTTCCTTTTCTCCTGACTCTTTTTTTTTTTTTTTTGCGGTACGCGGGCCTCTCACTGTTGTGGCCTCTCCCGTTGCGGAGCACAGGCTCCGGACGCGCAGGCTCAGCGGCCATGGCTCACGGGCCCAGCCGCTCCGCGGCATGTGGGATCTTCCCGGACCGGGGCACGAACCCGCGTCCCCTGCATCGGCAGGCGGACTCTCAACCACTGCGCCACCACGGAAGCCCACTGACTCATTTTTATATATCCATGATAGTAATAGTAATAACTACTCTTTACAGAGTGGCGCGTGTGTGTCGATACTTTCCACACAGAGGTTTAATTCCCACAAGGAGCCGACCACTAATGCTACCTAACAATAAAATAATTAGGTTAAGTACTTATTTGCTCCAACTCACATGACTAATAACCAGGAAGATCTAAGTTGAAGCCACGATCTCTCCATCCCTTAAGCCTGGCTCTTCCCAGATACCCTGTCATGCTTCATCATCATCCCGGTAGTCATGGTGGAACTACTTCCTCATTCCCTCCCTCAGTAGAAATGATTTCACCTCCATTCATACGTTATGTAAAGTCCATGCGTCTGTTTTTTCAGTAAAGGATGTGTATCTGTAAACGTCAGCGCTCTTCACCATTCTCTCCCTCATCTAAGGTAGAAACTGCACCTGTTTTAAATGCCTTGAAAGCTATGAGAGCTACACGTCCAAGATTTTCAGAGACGTTGCTGATTTGAAATATTGGGCCCACTGTTCTTGACGGAGTCCAGCCTCTCACCCTCCATAACACTCCCAGGCTGCCTGCCACACTCATGCTGTCTTGACGTCCCAAATAAAAAACTGCTTCCTGGAAATCTTTCTCTGCTCCCCGCCCCGTCCTACCCACCCTAGAAAAGGACCGGCAGCTCCTCTGAGCTTTCTGCTGCTTTGTACTTTCCACCCATTTTAGAGCTGTCCCTCCCCGTCTATTAATTCCAAAAGCTCAAGGACTGTGTCTAACTTGTTCATTTTGGGGGAAAAACGTGGATATGTTCCCCAGCATCTTCTACATAGCACTTGGTACAGAATACGCACCACGTAATCATAGAAGGAATGGAAGTCCTTTCAGTCTTTCGTTCTGGCTCTATAAATACAGCCAGCGTAAGTGTTTGGCACTTTGCAGAGGGTGGGCTTTGCAGACTGATGTTTAGTGAAGACCCTGGGTGATGGTTACCATTTTCAGAGTTTTTTTCTTTTCCTCGTCTTCCCCCTTTCACACAGATGTATCACGACATCATGCTTGCACTTGAGGCTGCAAGCAAGGATGATTCAGCCATAACTGTTTTAACAGGTGAGACATTTTCTTAGATTTCTAGTTAAATTTCTATTTGGGGGGATTTTCATCTAAGTAGGAAATTGAGTAAATAGGCTCTAATATCTTTCCTAGTGCTAAGATACTCTAATTCTTAAATACATAAAAAATACGATAGACACAGGATTGATATCTTTATCACGTAAAAAGCAGATACCAATTGGTAAGAAAAGTACTAAGACCTATTAGATAATCGGGTGAGTAAAATGAACAGATAATTTATATGAGAAAGTACAGGCATAAAAGAAACAAGGAAAATGCAACCAGATTAATAAACAGAAATCAAAATGATGAGATACCACTTTATACTTACCTGAATTAGCAAAATTTCATGTTATACCCAATTTTGACAAGGTTATGGTAGAATAAATGCCTCTACTCCCTTGCTGACAGCAGCGTGATGGCTATAAAAAGTGTACGTAGCTAAGGAAAGGGCATTTGACAGTATGTAAAATGTTCATATACTTTGATACAGGGATCCCACTTATGGGAATTTATTTTAGGGAAATTATCCAAGAAAAAGGAAAGGTCTCATGCAAGAAAGATAATCTTTGCAGCATTACTTATAATTGTGAAAATGTTAAAACACTGTAAATATGCTGCGTGACAGAATAATAAAGCACATTATAGAACATCCAGTAGACTACATACTGTACAAGTATTAAAAATTACAACTCTAAAAACCGACAGTATAGCAAATGTTTAAGATATAATAAAAAGCATTAGCAATTATATCAGCACTGTGATAATAAGTGGAAAATATGATGGATGCTTCTGGGCCTGGGCTGATGAGAACTCAGAGAATGGAAGTCATTGAACCTGGAAGGGGCACTGCGTGTAGTGGTACAAGCTGAGGGTCAGGACTCGGATCAACTGGTGTTTAAATCCGGGCTTCATTCCTTACTACCTGTGGGCGACCTCTGCTTCCTGAATGGAGAAGACAGTGTCTTCCTAACCCCACAGAATGGTCGAGGTGGTGGCACGAGACAGTGCAGGGCAGGGCTCACAGCAGGTACTTGGGAGACGGGAGCTGTTACCGTTTGTTGACGCAGTGGAAGCAGGACTGATTTTATTTTATTTTATTTATTTTCTTTTTTGGCCACGCCATGCAGCTTGCGGGATCTTAGTTCCCCAACTAGGGATTGAACCTGCACCCTTGGCAGTGAAAGTGCGGAGTCCTAACCACTAGACCACCAGGGAATTCCCAGAGTGATTTTATTTTCTTTTAATTTTCATTAAAATTTGTAAAATATATAATATTATATAGAGATATCAGAGATCTTTCAGTAAAAAAGGGAGATGAGGAGAAAGAGAGATACCTAACAGCTGATGAGGGGGGGTGAAGGAAAGGGAAGAGTTGAGCATGGCCCTTGTATTTCACAAATACACCTCGGAGAACGGAGGCAACAAAATCAGTCTAGAGGTGGCGTTGGCTTGATACAGGAGAAGAATGTTTTCTGTTTTTTTAATTAAAAAAAATTTTTTTAACATCTTTATTGGAATATAATTGCTTTACAATGGTGTGTTAGTTTCTGTTCTATAACGAAGTCAATCAGCTATACATATACATAAAAAATTTTTTAACTAAAAGTATGATACAGGCACATGGTTTTTTAGAAAATCCAGAGATTGTGAAATGGCATATAGCAAAACTAAATCTCACTCTCCTTGGAACCCCAGTCTTGCTTCCTAGAAAAACTCAGCTTTTCTTGAGCCTTCCAGAAACTGCCTACGTGTGTATGTGTGTGTACTCCACCTCTTGTAAACAGAAAAGGAAGCATATAGTACATACATGCTATACCCACCTTCTCCTAACAGCATATCCCGGAAAATGGCTCTCTGTCAGCACGTATACATCTAAGTTTTTCTCTGCAGGACTACAAAGTACGAAAGTTTTGGGATTCCATAATTTATTTCATCATTCCTGTATTGCTGAATGGGTAGACCGTACTTAGCCTTTTGCTATTAAAATCATGCTGCAAGGGTATCCTTGGACACATGTCTTGCAGTGAATGCGCAAAATCCAAAGGCTATGTTCTTAGAAGTGAAGTTGCTGGGTTTCATAATAATGGTAATACCGGCTAACGTTTTTATCATACTTCCTGTTTGCTGACACTAGCCTAAGCATTTTAATTCATCTGATAGCGTTTTGATTCTTCACTTTTCTAAGCTTTCTTGCAATAACCCCGTGAGATTAGGCCCTATTATTACTCGTATCTTACAGGTGAGGAAACCGAAAGGTTAGGTTTTGATAAATAGCACTTTTCCTGTGGTGATTTTCTGTATATCCTTCACGTTCGTTTTCTAGTTCCTGTTTGATCTCAGCGTTGTAATAGTAGGTCCTTTAATTTCCAGAAAGGATTTTTTTTTTTTTTTTGGTTTTCCATTTCTGTTATCAATTCCTAGTTTATTGTATAATAATCAGAAATGATTGGTTTTACTAATTCTACTTTTTTTAGAATCTATTAAAATTTCGTGTATATTAGCTATATATTGAAATCTCTGCCTTGAAGATTAAGAATCAACAAAATGGCCAATATTTTATATCATCCAGGGACACTTAAAAAGTAAGTTCAGGGACTTCCTTGGTGGTCCAGTGGCTAAGATTCCGTGTCCCCAGTGCAGGGGGCACCGGTTCGATCCCTGGTCGGGGAACTAAGATCCCACATGCCACACGGTGCAGCCAAAAAATAATAGTAATGAAAAAATATTTTAAATAAAAAAAATGTTTAAAAATTATAAGTTCATTCTTGATTTTTAAGGTATAGAGTTACAATTATATCAATTAGACTTGCCTCTCTAATTCATGTTATATAGATTTCCTAAATTCTGTTTTCTAATTTATCTGTCTGGACTGAAAAAAGAAAATTAAAGGCATCTGTTTCTCTCAGCCCATGCTACGCTGGGTCCCCCCCTCCCCAGAGCCTTTGCACATGCTGTCACCGCTGGAGAGTATTCCCCCCACCCTCTTTCCATCTACCCCTGCCCGTGTCCTTCAGATCTCAGTCCAGTCATTCCCGCCTTAGCAAAGTCCCTCCCTGAACCCCCCAGGCGAGAGCAGAGCCCCATTGCCTGCTCTCCTGTCCTCGTGTCCGTTTGCATCATCATAGTTGCATTGCCTACAGTTATTCATGTGTCTTTAAATCAAGGTCCAGCTGACTCCCTGGCCTGTCAATTAGGGCAGGACCCCAGCTGGTCCACCAGTGTATTTCCAGAGCTTGGTACAGAGCCTGGCACATACAAGATGCCCAGTGACTACTGCAGAGTGAGTGAGTGCTGGATCCATGGATTTTGTTTACAGGCAATGGGGACTATTATTGTAGTGGGAATGATCTGACCAACTTCACGGATATTCCCCCTGGTGGAGTGGAGGAGAAAGCCAGAAGCGGGGCCGTTTTACTGAGGTGAGAGCACGTTTGTCTCATCCCGGGGGGCTTATCCTTATCGGTGTGGGGTCTTCAGCTGCGCCAAAGTAAAATAAATACTTCTTAGGTTCCGTGTAATCGGCTGTGACTTTAGGCAAGCATATTTCTCCAAGCTTCTATCAGTAGGGGGCATTTGCTCCATCACTGTAACTTCTGTTACCCGTTCTCCTGGCCTCCCTACACCACATTTGATTGGAAAGCATACAAGTCAACTACCGCTACCAATTAAATTCTCCCATATTGAGGCAGAGGAGTTTAGCAACTTCTCCTCTGGCCAGAGGAAGGCGTGACTGCCATGATCGCTGCTCATAGGAGACTTGAAATGGTCTGGGAAGACACAGAGGGCGTGAAGGCGTCTCCTCCCGCCTCGTTAGTCCCCGCTGCGTCTCTGGTGCCCACTGAGCTGTGATACTGCAGCACGTGCTGGCAGCCACCCTCGCCTCTGAGTCTACAGCTGGCTTCCGTCCCTGACCGAATGCCTAGAACACAAGATTTGAACCAAGGCTGACCTGTGGGACTCTGCGAGTTTCCCTCAAGTGCCGTTCAGATGGGAGGAACCTGGTGCGAGAGGCCGGGGAGGTGGCAGGGCAGAGAGGCACTGCTGGGCGATGGGAAATCCACCAGCCTGGCCAGAAAAGCACGTTCCAGACTCACCCTGTCTCGCCTGCATACTTCAGTGATGCTACTTTGGCATATTTAAACATGCTTTTATATTTCCACGTCTGTAGGGATTTTGTCGACCGTTTTATAGATTTTCCGAAGCCTCTGGTTGCAGTGGTAAATGGACCAGCTGTAGGAATCTCCGTCACCATTCTCGGGCTATTTGATATCGTGTATGCGACCGACAGGGTAAGTCAGCTCCCAGAAATGTATGAAGTTATACAAGTTAAAAAGAGATCCTCTGAATTCTCCTTTATTGTTGCTAGTAGTAAACAGATTACATATGGTTTATGGTAGAATGGACCGAATTTAAATTTTTCCCAAAGAATTAGTCTAATATGACGCTTTTTTTTTTCTTTACTATTAACTTGAATTTTCCTAAACACGAATATTGTTGTGAACATTTTTGCCCCAGCTCTTTTGGCTCTGTGCTCTAATCCCGTTACACAACACTTGTTCATTTTTACTCTAAAACAGTCAGGAACCTTCAAAGCTTGTTAGCAGGGGGCAAAAAATAGCTGCTTTGGAGGTTATGCAAGTGAGTTATTTGATCAGTTTTTCCAAGTAAATGAATCGTGGAATTTATAAATCCAGAATAAGGAAGAACTTTCAGGCGTTATTCTACTTTCACTCCCTCCTTTGCAGATAAGAAAACCAAAGCTCAGAGAAGTCGTGTTCACCATTGAATTATATAGATTTTAATTTTTCTTCCTACTACAGTCATAATATATGTCATAGTAGAAAATAAAATTTTGGAAAATATGGAGAAGTACAAAGAAAAGAGTTAATTTAAAAGTCACTCCTTATCTCACCACTCAGATAAGCAGTGCTAACATTTGGGTTATTTAACTTATCTAATTTAACCAGTCCCTGACACTGGAACCCTAGAATATTTCCAGTTTTTATCCTTATAAACAAAAATGTGATGAACGTTTGTCTTAGAACGTTTACTGTAGAACTAATAACCACCTCTTAGGGTTATCAGATTCTTGGAGTGACTTTTGCTTTTGTGGCAGTACAATTTGCTAATGTACCTACAGCCTTGCCGGGAACACTTGGTTTTTACCGCTGAAGAGATTCCTGGCTTTGTTTGGAGGTGTTTTCTCCACTGATGGGGCCGTATATGAGGGTCCTTAACTCTGTGGCTCACCTTTTACTGGATTCCTTTCAATGAGGTTGGGCATATTGTCGGATCTAATTTTTACTAATAATTTTCCCATAAAAATAGCAAATGGAAGTCTAGACGCTAGGCTACCTAACCTTTGTAGGTGGAAGTCTCTGCTCAAAGGCAGAAATTAACAGTCTTCGGTCACATTCTGTGTGATAAATGACCAATTAATTGACCTGCTTTGAGCAGGGTGGGATCAGGAGTTCCTGACCTGAACTTGGGGGTCTCATTCTTCAGTACTTGGAGGCCAGTATCATCATATTTGAATCTTGTCACGATTCTCCCACTGGATTCCAAATGATTGTCATGTACATCATCTTTTTAAAGATTTCTAGGACTCCCATCTTACGATACAATTTGAATTAAAATTGAAATCAGAGGGAAATGCGTATATATTATGTATGCTAAAAGATTGGGCCCAAAGTAAAATATTTGACAAGTAGTGACCACTGCTAAGAGTTCACCCAACTGAATTAAACCAAGGTTCAATTTAAAATCAGGCAAAGACACAGAAGAAAGAAGCTGTGGAGAGGAATTCATTTTACAGGGTTTCTCATTCCTGGCTTCATGAATAGATACCATATTAAATGTGGGTTAACATTTAACCCATATAACCAAGTTATTCTTTATTATGGGCAATAAGTAGTGCCTCTGCCTATTAGCTTCTCTGTCAGCAAACAGTACATTTCCTCTTTGAGTTAATAAAAAGGCAGAAATCATAACAGTAATAGATCTTTGAGCGCTCAGTATCTAGGAGGCACTCTGCTGATGCAATTATATGTGTTCAGTAAATGCCCATGTTCACTGCCCTGCGAGGCAGGTGCTCTCACCCCATTTTACAGATGAGAAAACCGTGGCACAGAGAAGTTAAGAAGCTCCAGGGTCACCAGGCAGCCTGACGCCAGCATCTAACCCTTAACTACATCTACTGCTCCATTGCTTATAATAATGTTTATAAGTGAATTAAATGCTGCTTATTATCAGCTTTCCACGCACCTGTTTGTGGCTCTTACCAAGGTCGGCTTCTTCTTTCAGTTTTCTGGTCATGTTCTTTAGGCTGTGACTTCTCAGCACATTTTCTCCAATACACTTTCTTTTAGGGGGGGAAGGAGAACACAGGTGACATTAATAACTGTTTACTTTATACTTTTATTATTTTGATTTGTATGCTTTGTACATTATATGTTTATATCTTCTAGCAATATTCATTTAAAAAAACCCCGCCATACCTGATTATGGGAAATGAAGTCTAAATATGCTGTTTACGGAATTGTTGATTATAAGTTAATTTCCTTTCATAAGAACTTTTCATTCATCAAGAAACACACAAAACTATTTCTGACATCTAGAAAAAAACTACAAATGACTCTGTAGTCTAAATAACCAATATTAAAGTAGTTTCTGGTATTTAAAACCAATCAAAAAACCTCTGGGGCAAAATCAAGACAAATGGCAGATTGAAGAAGTAATTTTTCAACTCACAATAGAGGCTAACCTTTCTAATGTATTTTTTAAAATGTGTCTATAAAGTGATGGATCAACAAATTAATATAAAAATACACGACAGAGAGGAATAAATAGCTCACAGAAAAGAAAGTGTAAATGGCTCTTAAAAACCACGTGAGAAAGACACCATTAAGAAAAGGACTTGTAGGGACTTCCCTGGTGGTGCAGGGGTTAAGAATCTGCCTGCCGATGCAGGGGACACGGGTTCGAGCCGTGGTCTAGGAAGATCCCACATGCCGAGGAGCAACTAAGCCTGTGTACCACAACTACTGAGCCTGCGCTCTAGAGCCCGCGAGCCACAACTACTGAGCCCTCATGCCACAACTACTGAAGCCCGTGTGCCTAGAGCCCATGCTCCACAACAAGGGAAGCCACGGCAATGAGAAGCCCGCACATTGCAAAGAAGAGTAACCTCTGCTCGCTGCAACTAGAGAAAGCCCGTGTGCGGCAATGAAGACCCAATGCAGCCATAAATTAATTAATTTTTTAAAAATAGACAACCAATCCAACTTAAAAATAGTGGGCAAAGTATTGCAAGCTACTTCACCAAAGAAGGTATGCAAATGGCTGATAAACACACGAAAAGATGCTCAACATCATTAGTCATCAGGGAACAGCAGATTAAAACCACACCAAGGGCTTCCCTGGTGGCACAGTGGTTGAGAGTCCGCCTGCCGATGCGGGGGACACGGGTTCGTGCCCCGGTCCCGGAAGATCCCACATGCCGCGGAGCGGCTGGGCCCGTGAGCCATGGCCGCTGAGCCTGCGCGTCCGGAGCCTGTGCTCTGCAACGGGAGAGGCCACAACAGTGAGAGGCCCACGTACCGCAAAAAAAAAAAAAAAAAAAAAACCACACCGAGACACCACAACACACCTACTAGAGTGGGTAAAATTGAAAAGACTAAGGATAACGACAGGTTTAGGGAGAACGCGGAGTGGTTGGAACTCCCTGCTGCACCTCGGAAAATAGTCTGGCAACGTCTCAGAAAGTTACACCACACGTGAACCACACAGCCCAGCAATTGCATGCCTGGGCACTTAACCAAGAGAGTTGAAAATACACCTTCCTCATAACCTTATTCATAATATCCGGAATACTGGAAATACCACAGTGGCTCCAACTGGTGAATGGATAAGCGAATTATGGCACATCCGTACAATGGAATACTTCCAGAAATAAGAAGGAACAGACCTTAATATGTGCAGTAACAACGTGGTGACTCAAGAGCCTGCTGCTAAGGACAGAAGCCCACAAAAGGAGAAGAGGCTACAGAACGTATGATTCCGTTTATATGCATTCTAGAAAAGGCAAAACTGTAGGAACAAAACATCAGTGGTTGCTTGAGGGTGAGAGACAGACTGCAGAAGCGGCGTGAGGAAACTTTGGCGTGGGGGGGGGTGATAGAACTATTCTATATCTTGGTCATGGTAGTGGCTACATAACTGTATACATTTGTTTAAAACTCATCAAACCGCATACGTTAAGAGTGGATTTTGTATACAGGCAGACCTCAGAGAGATTGTGGGTTTGGTTCCAGACCACCGCAATAAAGCAGATATCACAATAAAGTGAGTCACGGGACTTTTTTGGTTTCCCAGTACATATAAATGTTATGTTTACATTATACTGTAGCCTATTAAGCATGCAATAGCATTATGTCTAAGAAAACAATCAGACATTTTAAAACAGCTTTAATTTAAAAATAACGCTGTTGGGAAAATGGCACCAGCAGACTTGCTCGACTTAGGGTTGCCCCAAACCTTCCATTTGTAAAAAAAAAATAAAAATGTGGTATCTGCGAAGCACAATAAAGCAAAGCACGATAAAAGGAGGTCTGCCTGTATAATAATACAATAACCATAATTTTTTGTAAAGTTCTTCAGTTAAGTATTGTAAGGAGGATAGAAACAAATAGTGAATTTTTTGAAATCACATGTGAAAAGATGATTTTCTTTTTTTTTTTCTCTCTTTTCAAAAAGGCAACATTTCATACTCCATTCAGTCACCTAGGCCAGAGTCCAGAAGGATGCTCCTCTTACACTTTTCCGAAGATAATGGGCCCAAGCAAGGTAATTTTTGGAAACCTTAAAATGAAAGGTAATGTCATCTCCATTCCAAAAGTAACCCCACACTCTGTTCTTTCCCTCTATAGTAGAGGCAGCAGACGGAAGCGAATTATTTGCTCCCCAACTCCAAGAGTTTTAAACATAGAGGAACCAGGCTGTGGGAAGCGTCTGGTCCGCAGGGAAATTTAGACGCTCTGTCCCCAAACTGGGGGTGACTCTCAGCTGGGTGCCCCGTGCTCCCAGCGCCGTTCCCGGCCCCCACAGCCTTTCCTCCAGACTGTCCCACAGGGCAGCAAGGCTCCAGGGGGCCCAGTGGCTGCTCAGGTCTGTCCCTGCAGTTATGGAAACCTAGGTGCCCACCCTTGATGGGCAGGACCCCAAGGGGATCATGACAAGACCGAGAGCCGGGGGTAGGGAGAGGCTTAGCAAACATCCTTCGGGATCTGAAAGGGGGGGAGTGGGAATTGAGCCTCTGTTCGTTGCTATTAGGTTTTCATTGAAAAAAATGTATATTTTTAAAATCTCTTTTCTTTTGTTTCTGGACATGCCATGCAGCTTGCAGGATCTCAGTTCCCCGACTGGGGATTGAACGACCCCGGCCACGGCAGTGAGAGCCTGAAATCCTAACCATTAGGCCACCAAGGAATTCCCTTTTTAAATCTCTTTCTTCAGTCACGTGCCCTGAATTCTTATACAGCTTTGAACTTTGAAAATTTGGGCAGACCCGACCCTAAGGCTTAGAACATTTGACTCTGAAACCGTCTTTCCTTTTCTGGAAGAGAAATTGCAAACGTGGGAAAGGATATCCACTTGGTGCCCCCAGTATTGTTAGAAACTGAACATCAGTCTCCCTCACTTTCCTTCAGTTAAGTGGAGCTCATTGGAGTACCTGGGCAGGTAAAGAAAACTGTCAGAGCCAGACCACTGTGTGAATTTCCAGGGAAAGGAACTTAAAAAAAAATATATATATATATATATATATTTATTTATTTATTTTGGCTGCGCCGCGTCTCAGTTGCAGCACGTGGGATTTTAGTTGCAGCATGCAGACTCTTAATTGAGGCGCGCGGGATCTAGTTCCCCAACCAGGGATCAAACCCAGACCCCCTGCATTGGGAGCATGGAGTCTTACCCACTGGACCACCAGGGAATTCCCCGGGGAAGGGAATTTTGACAGTTGGTGTGCCTAAATGTTGGTTGGCATTTCCTATGATGGTGATTTTTCTTTTTGTTTTATAATTGTTTATAGTGTATAAAACAGGAACTCATTGCTGCTGTGTGTCGTAGAATCAACACCTGCCTCACAGCCTTTCTGCCCCAGGCTCCCAGCTCTTTTTGCTCCACATCGTAGACAAACACAGAAGCAGCAACCTCTACAAACTGTCCAGAAAGCCCAATGGTCTCAGCACAAAGTTGGCAAACCATTGCCTGTGGCGCCATCAGTTTCTCCCTTAATGAGAAATACTGGCAGCCTCAGAGGCCAGAAGGAGATGTCCCTGTGTCTACTGAAAGCAGTTCATTCTGAAGTTAGCTGAGCCTTGTTTCACTGCGTTAACGTCTCAATCCCGCTTTTTGTTGCAGGCAACAGAGATGCTCGTTTTTGGGAAGAAGTTAACAGCCCGGGAAGCATGTACCCAAGGACTTGTTACTGAAGTTTTTCCCGACAGCACTTTTCAGAAAGAAGTTTGGGTCAGGCTGAAAGCATATTCAAAGCTCCCCCCAAATGTTAGTATTCGTTTTCTTGTTTGTTTTGTTTTGCTTGTAAGAACCATGGAAATCATCTGTTTGCCTTAAGAGAATAAGCAGTTTAAAAAACAAGACAGCTGGCTCTGAGCACATCTAAATCTGAGATTAAAAGCAAGCATAATAATGTTAGAAATACTGATTTTTACAAAACTTATCAAATAGGCATTCCATTGCTGTGGAGACCGAGGGACGGTTCTCTCTGGGCACCACTTTGAGGAGGTTGATAGGCAACCTTTGCCAGCACTTTCATCCTTGAATCCAGGTGAGCAGCCAGACAGGTTAACTTTGAGGAGATTCTGACCACACAGCACCTTCGTTTTTATATGTGATAGCTGGTGACTCATTTTCTCATGTTCTCACTGCTCAAAATGTCCTGGAGCCAGAAGCTTTGGTTTCTATCTACAGCTTCTTAGAAATGTGTGATCACAAGCCCTGCCCCACACCTGCTGGGAGGATGTGTGCACACACGAACGTTTGAGGAACAGTGTCTTATCTACACATATTTCTTAAGGTGTCACAGGATCAAATGAACGACAGAGAAACAAGCATCAGAATTCTAGAATAATCTCACTCCTCTTAGAATGCCTCTTAACCTCACTGTTGGTTTTGTTTTTTCAGGCCATGAGAATTTCAAAACAGGTCATCAGAAATACGGAGAAAGAAAAGTTGCACGCAATTAATGCTGAAGAAAGCAACATCCTGCGGGAGAGGTGGCTGTCAGATGAGTGCATGAATGCCGTCGTGAGCTTCCTGTCCAAAAAAGCAAAGCTGTGATGGCCATCACATCAAAGCTAAACGTTTCCAAGGAAGGGATGTGCTACTATTTCTGCTTTCCAATTCCTGAACTAAGTAAACCTCTCTGTGCCTTTTTTCAGTGCTAAAATACCAGTTATGATAATTATACTTCACTAGAGCCCTGATGAAAAACAAACGATGTGAAACCAGCTTTGAGAATTTACGTAGGTTTTTGGTAGTGGGGAGTCTTACGTCTTTCGCTATGAATCGCTGTTGCCAGGCACACTGAAACATTGTGCCCGGCGTCCTGCTCTGAAAGGCATTCACGGTGCTGCAGGCTGAGACCGTGTGTTCGAAAACCACTACTGCACTTTGCCGTCCACACAGGCTCACTGACTTGATCGGCCCAAACACCGACAGTCTCTGGATGACCGAGTCAAGATCTTCAGTGGGTCGCATGTTCTTTTTCAGCCCTCTGGCAGGGGGAGCAAACAGAGGGAGCAATATTACTAGAGGATGAATTAGAATCTTAGTTTCATCCCCCCCCATAATTTGATAAAAAGGGATGAAGGGATTGGATTGTTTCATTGGAAAGTGATGTTCTGTATCAGTGATTATTTCCTCATTTATTGTATAGTCTTCATTCTCGTTTAATGTGGTACTTTATAAAAAGCACACCTGAAAGCTGCCTTAACTGTCCTTGTGACTCTCTGTTTCGATGGCTGCCATATGAATCACTTGACGAGTTTAATTCCAGTGGCTGTAGGATTGGCATGGAAGATTTTGCTCTTCTAAATGTCCTCCTTCCTTTTTAACCTCCTTCAAGCATCAGCATCCAGATAGCCAACCCACCAGACCTCTTAATTCTTAATTTTTTTATTCCAGTAATCCGAATCCAAAGTGTTCACTCTTATAGGAAATACATTAATAGTAATAACCCATTCATGTTTACTGAGCACTTACTATTTGTTTCCAGTGCTTAATGCCCATAAGCACATGTCCTCAAAAAACAATGCCCAAAATTTAAAATGAGGTAAACTTTTGCTGCTACCCATTTACAAGTAAGGAGTCCAAGGCATGGAGATGTAAGTAGCTTTTCCAGAGTCAGAGTCCCAGTAAGGGTCAGAGAGTCCCAGCCCCACTGTGTCCCCATGAGCCACCCATCCCTCCCACTGACTTCAACTAACATCTCTGGAAAAAAGGTGAAAAACAATGGCTTGAGGATGCTGACATTAAACAAAAGCAGATGGATTATGGTAAGGCATCAAAATGTGGAGAAGCATCTGCCCATGAGTTTTTGAGATTGTGGGACATTAGGAAACAATTGCTGGGATCTCTGTCCTAAGCACGGGACATATGCCCCAAAGGCAGGCCCAACTGTGCAGCAGTGCAGTGGTTGCCATGGTGTGACTGGCAAAAGAAAATTTGAGGCCAAGAAGAACATCTCTCTAACCAGGAAAAGGATTCCCTGGGGCTGGAGAGGAGAATCCCAGAGCAGAGAAGGAGTGAGATGCTCCCCTAATTCTAGGTATAAACCTACACAGCTTAGGTTCACAAGTGGGACAGGCTCAAACCAACATGGTAAAGGCTTTGGGACGTAAACTGGGAATTTAAGCACCACTAACACAAGATCAAGACAGCTTGCAGTCTCAACCTAAGCCGGTTGATTACTTGCTAAAACAAAACGATCAACATTCTCCAGATCATTCAACAAAACTCAGGGTCCAGGCAACATAATATTCACAGTGTCCATGATACAATCCAAAATTATCAGCATACAAAAGACCATGAAAATGTGAGCACTAAGGTGAAAAAAGACAACGCATGTCAATCCCGAGATGACCTAGATGTTGGAATTGTCCCACAAAGACTTTAAAGCAGTTCTCATAACTGCTCCACAAGGTAAAGAAAAACACACTTGAAATGATTAAAACTACATGAATTCTCATCAGAGAAACAAGCTACAAAAAAAAAAAAGAACCAAATAAAATATTTAGAACTGAAAATCTGAAATTTAAAAATAATTCTCTAGGGAATCCCATGGTATTCCAGTGGTTAGGATTCAGCACTTTCACTGTGGTGGCCTGGGTTCGATCCCACAAGCTGCATGATGTGGCAAAAAAAAAAAAAAAAATTCTCTGGAGGGACTCTAGCGGAATGTAGATGACAAAGGAGTCAAAGAACCTAGAAGATAAATCAACAGAAACTAAGCAATGTGAAGTACAGAGAGAAAAAAATACTAGGAAAAATAATCAGAGTGACATCAGCAAGATGTTGGAAGTTTCAGGTCCTCATCGCCCAACAGAAACATCAAATAATCAACTACAGAAACCCGTCAGACATCTACAGCAAACAAGTGAATGTCCAATCAAGAAATAAGTTACATTAAAAATGATAGGAGATTTTGTGACATTTTTACTCACTCTTGCCCCACCTACTCCACTGCATGATGTGGTTGGAAGGAATTAGTCTACTTCCCACCTCCTCCTCTTGGGATGGAAGGAACAGACTGGAACTTGTTTGCAACATGCTGGCCTGTCTGGGTTGCCTGAGGGATTGGTTGCTGTCTTGCCTGACTCAAAGTTCAGATGGAAACATTGGCATAGTTTGGGTCCCAGGCTAGAAGCCACAGAAGGCACTGAAACACGTGAAAAGTACAAACTGATTGCACACCTGTGGGTGCAGAGAAAGAGATTACAAGCAGAGGAAGACAATAGAGCATTTAAGACCCTGAGAAGAAGCTGGAATGAGACTCTTTGGGAAGACATTTAAAAGCAGTTGAGGGGTGGGGGGGCAGGATTAAAAAAAACAAAACCAAAAATTAAACCTATACACAGGCTCAGACAGGAATCATGCCCAGTTAAACCTGAAAAGGCCTGGGCTGGCCTCAAGACTCGTGGGCCCACCATTTCAAGGTCTTGCACAGAGGTGTGCAAGCACTGGGAGAGGTGGCTCTTCTTTCAAATGCACAGTTTTCAAGAAAAGGTCATAAGGCATGCAAAGAAACAGGGAAATGTGACCCATTCAAAGGAACAAAATCTCCACAAATAGTCCATGAAGAAACACAGGCATGAGACTTACTAGAAAAAGACTTTAAAACAACTGTCAAATATGTTCAAAAGAGCTAAAGGAAAACATGGGCAAAGAGCTAAAGGAAATCAGGAAAACACTGTGTGACATAATATTAACAAAGATGGAAATTATTTTTTTAATTAATTCTGAAGATGAAAATTACAATAACTGAATTGAAAAATTCACTAGAGGGGTTCACCAGCAGACTCAAACAGGAAGAAGAAAGCATCAGCAAACTTAAAGACATTTGAAATTATTGAGTTTGAGGAGCAAAAAGAAGAAAGAACAAAAGTGAGCAGAGACTAAGGGACTTGTGGGACACCATCAAGTGACCAGTTTGCACACAATGGGAATTCCAGGAGGAGGAGAGACAGTGGGACAGAGCAATATATTTGAAGAAATAATGGCTAAAAACTTAACACAGTTTGAGGAAAGACATGATATACAATGCAAAAAGCTCAATGAACTATAAGCAGGATAAACACAAGGAGACCTACACTGAGACACATTATAATCAAACCTGTCAAAGACAAAGCATGAATCTTGAAAGCAGAAAGAGAAAAGCAACTCATCATACACAAGGGATCCCCAATGAGATGAGCAGATTTCTCAGCAGCCAGAAAGCAATGGAATGATATATTGAAAGTGCTGAAAGAACAAAAACAATTGTCACCTGCTAACTCTACATCTGGCAAATAGTGTTCTTCAAAAATGAGGGAGGAATTTAAGACATTCCTATGCAAAATCTGGGGGAGTTCATTACCACTAGATGTGCCCTGCAAGAAATGCTAAAGGGAGTCCAAGTTGAAATGAAAGGATGCTAGATAGTAAGTCAAAGCCACATGAAAATATAAAGTTCTCCAGCAAAGGTAAATACATGCACACAAATAAAAAACTATTATTGTAATTTTGCTTTGTAACCTCACTTTTTATTTTCTACAGGATTTAAAAGACAAATGCTTAAGATATAATTATAAATCTATGTTAATGGGTATATAATATATAAAGATGTAATCTGTGACATCAATAACAAATGGAGAGGGCTTCCCTGGTGGCGCAGTGGTTGAGAGTCCGCCTGCCGATGCAGGGGACACGGGTTCGTGCCCCGGTCCAGGAGGATCCCGCATGCCGCGGAGCGGCTGGGCCCGTGAGCCATGGCCGCTGAGCCTGCGCATCCGGAGCCTGTGCTCCGCAGCAGGAGAGGCCACAACAGTGAGAGCCCCGCATACCGCAAAAAATAAAAAATAAAAAAAAACAAATGGGGATGCAGAGCTGTAAATCAGTAGTTTTTGTATGCAGTTAAGTTGGTAAAAATTTAAGACAGATCATCATGATTTTAGGATGTTATCTGTAACCCCCATGGTAACCACAAAGAAAATATCCATAGAAAATACCCAAAAAGAAATGAGGAGGGAATCAAAATGTGTCAACACAAAAATATCAACTCAAAGGAAAGTAGTAATGGAGGAAATGAGGGACAAAAAAATGATATAAGACATACGGGAAACAAGATGGCAAAAGTAAGTGCTTCCCTATTGATAATTAAATGTATTAAACTCTCCAATCAAAAAACACATTGACAGAAAGGATTAAAAAATCAAGGTTCAACTATGTGCTGCCTATAAGAGTCTCACTTTAGATCTAGTGACATGCGTAAGTTAAAAGTGAAAGGATGAAAAAAGATATTCCATACAAGTAGTAACCAAAAGAGAGGAGGATGGCTCTTATTTTAGACAAAATAGACTCAAAAGCTGTTATAAGATACGGACATAATATCATGATAAAAGGGTCAAGACAGCAAGAAGATATAGCAATTATAAACATTTACACACTAATATTAGAACTCCAATATATATAAGGAAACTGACAGAATTGAAGGGAGAAACAGCCTACAATAATAGCAGGAGACTTCAATACCCCACTTTCAATAGTGGATGGAAAACCAGACAGAAGATCAATAAGGAAATAGAGAACTTGGACAACACCATAGATCCCTTGGACCTAACCAATGTGTACAGAACACTCCACCCAACTACAACAGAATACACATTTTTCTCAAGTGCACATGGAACATTAACCAGGAAAGATCATATGTTTGGCCACAGAACAAGTGTTAATAATTTTTTTTTTTTGCGGTACGCGGGCCTCTCACTGCTGTGGCCTCTCCCACCGCGGAGCACAGGCTCCGGACGCGCAGGCTCAGCGGCCATGGCTCACGGGCCCAGCCGCTCCGCGGCACGTGGGATCTTCCCGGACTGGGGAACGAACCCGTGTCCCCCGCATCGGCAGGCGGACTCTCAACCACTGCACCACCAGGGAAGCCCTAAATTTGAAAAGAGTAAAATCATATATCTTTTTCTAATTACAATGGAATTAAACTAGAAATCAACAGCAGAAGGAAAACTGGAAAATCCACAAATATACGGCAATTAAACAACACACCTTTAAACCACCAATGAGTCAAAGGGGAAATTAGAATATATCGTGAAACAAATGAAATAAAAACACAACATACCAAAACTTGTGGGATAAAGTCAAATCAGTGCTAAGCGGAAATTTTATAGCTGTACGTGCTTACGTTTAAAAGAAGAAATCTTGTAGACTAGGTGTAAAGCCGAAGTTCTGCCACTCATATGATATCATCCTAGGTCCTGGTCATGCTTGGGGTGGGCTGGTGCTTCCCAACTCATGCAGCATAAAAGCCCTACAGCTCGGTGGTTGGGTCCCTAAGAATCCCTCTCCAGCCCTGCTAGGTCTCTGCTCACTGACCTGGAATGCGATGGCCCGTGGGGAACCCACGCACCTGCTCCAGTCTCCATGAGTTTTCTCCCAATGAGGGCTCCTGCAGACACGGGGAGGTGTGCAAACGGGACTCATGTGCTTTTATACAGAGCAATGCTTGTTTTCACACTCACCGTATATGCCAAAGACAACATTAAGTCATTTTTTAGCTTTTTAAGGCATAAAGAGGGTTTGCGGTCACCCTATCCATCTCTAAATATGCCTGCATAGGACAAAAATTAGGCACCTACCTGACAACTATGGTTGACACTGGAGGCTCCTTTGTGTTTTTATTCCACAAATGGCATTTCTTCCACCCCTGATTTGCATTGTTGTTGACTTTTCTTCTGCACAGGGGCATACTGCTTGGTTTGGGAAATCGATGTCTTTCTAAGATCCTTTCTAAGCCAGAGAATTCAGAATTCTCACCTAGTAGTAGAACAATCATTAATACAATTCAATGTTCCTTTCCATCTTTGCACAGCAAGAGTAAGATGCCATTAATTTGAGAAAGACTGTTTGTGCCACTTAATTGCTATTGAGGTCTCTGCCGTTTCTTCATTCCAAAAATATCAGTGAGCAACATTTAGACCGTAGCCTCGTTCTAGACATCTAATAGATGCACAGCAAGAAATGAGTGAATGAACGAACAAAGCAGGTGTGCTCGTACTACCACAGGTACTGAAGGTCATTGGTGTAATCTCTGCATGATTCTCAAACGAATGGTAAGTAACTGGACTACTATTTTTATCTTCAGCGATATTAACCACACTCTACCACTGCTTCACACTGACCTCAGTTGGCCCCTAACCAAATCGCCCATCCGTAGTGACCCAAAGAGCTTGTGCCAGAATGTAATCCAGTACTCTACTTCCTTCCTTCATTAAAACCATCTTCTCCAAAAAGAAGGAAGGAAGGAGGGAAGGAGAAAGAGGGAGACAGAGAGAAGGAGATAGGAAGGGAAGGAGGGAGGGAGGGAGGGAAGGAGAAGGGGAGTCAGTTGAACCACGCAGGGTGTTTAGTGACATAGCTGAGTTATCTTGTAGTGTAAGCTTGTTATCTCTTTGCCAACTGGTGACAATTTGAGAAGCGGAAGCCAGTTTGCAGGCTGTGCTATGAGCATCTCTGCAATCCATTTGGGTGCATAGAAAATAAGCTGTTAACCGTAGGAAGAGAAGCTGAGCCTCAGAGAGACTCAGGGGGACCCTGCATTGGATTAGGAATTAGATCAGTGCTTGTCCGGCCCCCATTATTTCTCAGGCTGAATCCCTGAAGGTCCCTCCTAGGTAGGGTAATTGACAGAGACCTAAGGGACAAAGAATTGGCTCAAGGGACCATAGGTTGGCATTCGGACTAAATGGTTTAATGACTTGATGAATAGATTGATCCTTAGAGGCCAGAAAAACCACTCCAAGTGAGTCAAGAGCAGGCCTGGAATATGGAGCTCCTGCCCAGTGGGTGAAGGCTCAGTGGCCACACAGCTGGGCCGCCCAGCAGCTCCCACAGGCTTGCCCGAACAATAGGAAGAACATAGGGTTTGCTTTGGTTGCCAGAACTTCACATCTAATGAAATGGACAGCAGTCTACACGGCAGGAACACTACCTAAACACATTGCTAAAGATGTATCAATATTCGTGTCTACACTGGGAGGCTAAGAGAACAAACTCTAAATCAACATTTAACTGGAATATCACTGGGAAATCAAAACCCAATTCTCCAACCTCACATAAATGCTCACTGTATTTTCGATTTTAAAATTGCATTTTAGTTACAAAAATTAAAGACACATGAAAAGATTTCCACTGGAATAGATAAAATCAAACAAAGAAGTATACATAGTGTAAAAAATTAATGAACAGAATCCTCAGTTAAATAGAGCCGAGAGACCAGCAGGGGGAGCTCTCACCCCTGCATTCGGAGCTGAGCCCAACCAGAAAGAAGAAAGATTCCCTTCTTTCCTGCTAGGACTCAACCACAGACTCTTCGTTTACTATTTTTGTTGCCCTCCTAACTTCTTTTCCTCTCTATAAGATGTTATCCTTCCCATGCCATGTGGAGACTTGCCGGTGGTTCACCAAGGTTGCAGACCCCAAATTGCGGTTCTCTTCTGATCCTGAATAAACCCGTCTTTGCTGGAGAAATACCAGGCGGTCCTTTTGGTTCAAGTCAACAGCAAAGGGAACATCTTCCTCCCTCCCATCTCTATCCTTCCTCAGAGGTAGGCACCACCCTGAATTTGCTGTGTCTCCTTCTGGAACTCTTTTCTATGCATTTATATACATATTTGCATTTACAAATACATAGTCTTCTTTTGGCAAAAATGGAATCATTGTTCCTTATTCTGCAGCTTATTAAAACTCTGTAGTGTGTTTTACAGATATTTTAATGTCAACTTTCTTTTTTTTTTTTTGCGGTACACGGGCCTTTCACTATTGTGGCCTCTCCCGTTGCGGAGCACAGGCTCCGGACGCGCAGGCTCAGCGGCCATGGCTCACGGGCCCAGCCGCTCCGTGGCATGTGGGATCTTGCCGGACCGGGGCACGAACCCGTGTCCCCTGCATCGGCAGGCGGACTCTCAACCACTGCGCCACCAGGGAAGCCCCCTGCTTTATCTTTTTAACCTTGCCACCAGCATCAGCCTTCTTAGCTGCAGGTTTTTTCTCCTTAGTATCTGGCTTCTCAGCCTTTTCACCCGCCATCTTGCAAGATGGAAAAAAGCCCAGCACAGTTTTAAAGTGACGGGGATACAGCAGTGAACTAGACGCGCAGGGCCCCTGCCCTCATGGAGTCATATTCTGCTGGGAAGAGACAGACAACAAAGAAGCAAACAAGGTGGTGAGGAGTCCAGGGAAGAAAGAAAGATGGGGGTTCTGAAATGCAGTAAAGTGCATGGGAAGGGCTTCTTTATTTTTGTGTGTGTTTTATCCACATAATTTTATTTCAAATATTTATAAATTTGAAGAGCACTGCTTAAGGGCTTCTTTAAAGTGGAGTCAGGGAAGGCTTTTCTGAGAGGAAAATGGAAATGGGGGACACACTTAGGGGCTGGGGGTGGAGGCGGGAGTCAGAGATCTGAGAAACCCTCGATATGGTGGTGAGCATCTGGTGCATCTGCATTTTTCTCCAAGGATCCCTCCCCCCCAGATATTAAGAACCAGTGCATTTAGCTGCTTAATGAGGCTTTAGGGGGTTGAGTCCAGAGCTGGGTGTTACACGCACAGAATGCATTAGTACCACCACCATTTCTGGCTCAAATGTCAGTGCTTTGTCGTATAATCGAATCTGGACTCATGAGGACCCGTCCAGAGGCGGGCTTGCACTCAGCTGGGACACCTTCCTGCTCTCACGTCAGTTATGGGGACACTGCATGTTGGCAGCGTGGACAGCACTGGATACACAGCCCCGCCTGGTGGCGCGGGGGCGGAATCGGGATCAGGGTCGTGGCCCGGCGTAGTCAGGGCCGGGGTCGGGGGCGAGGTTGGGCTCAAGGTCGGGGACAGGGCCGGAGCCTAGGGTCCGGGTACGGCGAGGGGGAGGGGGCGGGGCCGGGGGGGGGGTCAGGGGACGGGCTAGGGGCGGGGCCGTGGGTGGGGTCGAGGTCGGGGGTCAGGGGTCGGGGTCGCGGCCCCGCCGGCCGCGTTCCGGCCGCGTGCCGCCCTCTGTCCTCTCCGCAGGCGGACCGAGTCGGAGGCTGTGCACGCGGAGCGGCCGGGGCCTCGGGGCGGCAGCGCCCGCGGAGACGCCGCCGGGGACGAGCCGGTGGCCAGCGGCGCCGAGCGGTAAGAGGCGGCCCGGCCCGCACCTGCCGGACGCCCACCCCCCCGGCCCCGCCCCGGGTCCCCGTCACAGAGGCCGGGCCGCGCACTCACCCCGCACACCCCGCGGCGCCGGATGTCCAGCGCCCGCGCGCGCCTCCCTCCCGGTCCTTCCGCCCGGGCGCGGCGCAGGTGGATCGGTTCTTACTGATGCAGAGCAAGCATCCCTGAGCTGCGTTCTCTGCGTCTTCAGGACCCACCCTTCCTCTAGGGGACAAACAGTTGTAAACGACTAGGAAAGACACTGAGTACTAAGGTGGCTTCAGTTTGTGGTTTTTTGCAGATACCCATGCCCTAAGCAATGCCTTAATCCGTTTAAACAACGCCTTAAAGATTGCTTCACTTGTTTTATGACACTGTAGTTCTCGGAGACTTATGCCTTAAACAGGAGCGGGCCTTTTGGTACCTCTGAGGCATATGGGAGTGTCGGCTGTGCCCGTGTGTAAGGTTAATCCTGCTTTCAAACGGAGCACCTGGCTTAAATCATTAAAAGCAGAGTTCATGACCCTGTGTTTTAATTCCAGATAATTCACCATACTTTTTCTAATTTGTGTTTTATCGTCCTGTCTGAAAATATCTCCCTTCTCACTTCAGACCTTCACTTCCTCCTCTTTTGTCATTTAGACCTTCCACCTTGCTTTTTCTGTGCCCCCGTTTTTGTCTGATCGCCTCTGGCTTCCAGTTAATTTCCTGTTGCTACCCCGCCTCACCCCACGCCCTCTCTCCCGCGTTCCAAGCTTTCTCCTGAGCTCCTTTGGATGCGGAGCCCAAGTTCATGCGCTCTTTGAAATCGGTACCCTCAGCGTGCCTGTCCCACACCTGTGCAAGATTGTGAGGAAACAGAGAAGCGGGACGGGGGGAAGAAATGGTGAGGACAGCGGCCCCAGGCTGCGCGCGTCCGTCTCCTGAGAGGTACGGCAGCTGCCCAGGAAGCAGCGTCGGGGGATACCGAATGGAAATTTTTCTTTTTTTTTTTTATTTTAAATTTTTATCCTATATTGGAGTATAGTTGGTTAACAATGTTGTGTTCGTTTCAGGTTAGTTTCAGCAAAGTGATTCAGTTATACATAAACATCTATTCTTTTTCAAATTCTTTTCCCATTTATGTTATTACTGAGTGTTGAGGAGAGTTCCCTGAAAATTTTTATGTCTTTTAACAAAGGAAAAGCTAACCAGCTTCTTTGTAAATCTCCAAACATTTCTCTTTTTAAAAAAAAAAAATTATTGATTTATTTATTTTTGGCTGCGTTGGGTCTTCGTTGCTGCGTGCGGGCTTTCTCTAGTTATGGCGAGCGGGGGCTGCTCTTCGTTGCGGTGCGCGGGCTTCTCATTGCGGTGGCTTCTCTTGTTGCGGAGCACGGGCTCTAGGCGCTCAGGCTTCAGTAGTTGTGGCACACGGGCTCAGTAGTTGTGGCATACGGGTTCAGTAGTTGTGGCACATGGGCTTAGTTGCTCCGCGGCATGTGGGATCTTCCCGGCCCAGGGCTCGAACCTGTGTCCCCTGCATTGGCAGGTGGATTCTTAATCACTGCGCCACCAGGGAAGTCCTCCAAGCATTTCTAATTGCAGTTGGATTTGGTGAAACATGCCACCTTGAACCGTCGGGCAGTGCTCACCTTTTAAATTTTCTCACACATGTTTTGTGAAAAATATTGGTAAGGCAGGTGGATATCGAATAGTAGAACCAATGCCCACCCTGTAGGCAGTTTGCAGTCTGGCTGACTTCATGGACTACTGACAGCCTTCCTTACTGGCTGACGAATTTGGTTACTTTTATTCTATGACCTCAACAGCATGGTTTTCATCACCTCCCCTTTATCATGTTAAGGTAAGGCTATTTCTCTCACAGGTTATTTTGTACCTTAGGGAACCAGGATTACAGAGCTGAGAGAAGCTTGAGAATCTGTCAGGAGGCTTTAAAAATACAAATATCTGGCCTCATCTTACTGAATCAGAATCTGTGCCATTTTCTTCAACTATTATTTTTAAAGAGCTCCCCTGGTGATTCTCATGCAGAGACTAGATCCAATGCATGTTATCTCAGAGAGCAGAGAATTTTATTTTTCATGAAAACCTCCAGAGAAAGATAATCTGCAGCCCACATTCCCATGTTCAACTCTCCTTCCTGTCGAGAGATAACTTCCCTGTGGATCCATTAAATCCTCGTCCTGTACTTAAGCTTATTTGTCCCTGTTTCTCCTTAGCGCAGAGATAATACCTAGTACTACCCGCTTGGAGTTTGGTTTGCAAAGGATTTTCTCATTTGAGATTTAAAAAAAAAAACTGAGTTCATCCCTCAAAGATCACTTTTTAAAATTAACTGCTCACCTCTTCACTTTCCCTTTCCAGGATAAATGATCACATCCCTCTCCTGCGCACACCCCACGCTTCTCCCGCATACCACTCAGCACAGTGTCTGGAACATAAATCCTCAATGGATATTGTACCTATCCTTATTCATTTTTTGCCTTAAAAAATATTTCCTAAGTGTTTCTCAGCATCTGGAGTCTAGAATGAGAGGTGGGCTGGTCAGTGTTGAGTATGTGAGAATCTTGTTCGGTTGACGGAAAGATTTTTATACTCTTTCAGATCTGGTACTCAGACATATGAACTCTGGTGACTGTGCCATTGTGAACTGCACATTTTATCATACTTTTTAAATCACAAGTTTTGAAAACTGGTGTGCCATTATTTTAACAAAATGTGAATGAAATCATAAATTCTTATAAAAGCCTTTCATTTCCTAAGAGGTGTTATCCATCTGATGACAGTTTGATGAGGACATTGCCCACTCCTCACAAATGCTGAGTGTCCTTTACAGGAGGGAGGGGGCCGGTCATGGAACTTTGTGCCTTTTGTTATATTTTAACCAAGGGACTTGTAAAATTATGTATTTGAGCTTTTAAAATTTTCTTACATTATGTTTATCCTAAAACAAATACTGTTTTAGAACTTATCTCACTGGAATTTGGATACAGAAGTACCCATTCCTGAAAATAAAAACCTCCCACCTGGAAGGGATGGTGCCACAGGTGGTAAGAAATCCTCGATGTGTCTATTTATATTCATACTTATAAATATATGAAAATTTATATTCTAATTTATAATATGAACAACCACTCATATTAAAGGGGGGCTTGTTTTGAATATCACCAGTTTTATGTACCTATTAATTGTCTTTTTTTTCATACACATTCTTTCAGACAAAATGAACAAGGTAAGGATAGGTGTTTGGTTTTAAGTAATTCACAAAACATTATTTTAACATTACCATGTATGCTCCTTAAATAAAATTTCTTTCCTCAAAGTTAAACTTTAAAATTTTATTTCTATAGAGTTCTTCAAACAAGTCAAAGCCTTTATTTACTATTTTACAAGGCTGCAAATTGGTCATTAAATATCTTACTATATTACTTTTTTTCAACATAACAGTGTTATAAATGGAAATTAACATTGTAGCGAAGCTAATGCTTTCCGGTCACTGCCAAAAGGGAAGTGGTCTCAGCCCTTAAGATATCTTGAAGCAGCTGAAATGGTTATATTTTGTTTTGAAGTAGTGAAAAAAAATGAATCTTTCATTTACTTTTTTTGATCAAAAATGAAACAGTTAACTTAATAAAATAAAGACAATCTTAATGATAGTCAAGGCTTATTAGTTAACACTGTTTAGTTGATGTTTATAAACAGATTATACTAATTCCTACTGAGGTCAGTAAAAACCATTTATATGGATATGAGGGAGTATTATAGGACTTTACTATATATTGCTTGGTTAGAACAAGAACTATACATTCTTAGAACAAGAGTCGGGAACAGAGATGTCATGTGTTTAAAAGTCTTCTGCTGCTTTATAGAACCATGGAAATTCCAGTAGAGCAACTCATGCTGCTTTATAGAACCATGGAAATTCCAGTAGAGCAACTCATGCTGGAACTTACTTTGTCAGAGCATGCTCCCAAAAGAACACAGGTAGGGTTTTATTCATCACACTCTGAAAGTATTATTTTTTTTAAAAAAGACATGCAGTTACTGACTAAAATGTTGTCCATGGTTTTCCTGTTCTTAGAATAGTAAACAAGGGGTATTCCAGTTATGGAGTTATCCTCTCAACAAAGGAAGTGCCACGGAGAACAGGTGAGAGAATATTTATGTTTGTAAATCCCTAAATTACTGAAATAAATCTAAGTACAGATGAGTTAACTGCTCAGCTGAAGTACGAGGCCAAAAAACAACCAGAAGAAAAAAAGTATTGTGTGCAAGTAGTGGGAAGTTATAGCGACGCGCCCTAAAATAGGACATGGCTGGCAGACAGCACGGTATGTGGTGAAGAGGTGACTGGGCCTTTACCAGGAGGGTCTAGATGGAGAGAGTTTGGACTTCCCGTTCGAGTGAAAAGGAACCGTAATAGGAAAGTAATAATTCACGTGCCAGGAATGATTTTCGTTCCTTACGCGTATTAACTCGTTTAACCCTCAGGACAGTCCTGCAAGGGAGGTGCTGTTGTCATTGTCCCTGTTTTACGGGTGAGGACATGGAAGCAGGTGACAGGTACCAGATGGTTGAACCAGAATGTGAAGGCTTGGTTCACGCTCTCACACCCCCTTCCCTGCTTCAGTCCCTTCCTGGGATTTGAATTCTTACTTTTTGCTTCTTAAACTTTGGTGTGCGTGAGAACCAGCTAGAAGCCTTCTTCAAAACGCAGGTTACTGTTATTGGGAAATTAACATGTATCGAGCACCGCCGGGTGTTGCTTTTACATAGCGTATTATTTAATGGGGATGCTGAGTTGCGTTCCTCTCTTTTGTCAACACAGTTTTAACAACTGTGTGGTTGGGTCCCTTGACAGCTGCGGTCTCTTCGGCTGAGGATTCTCCCCTGTGTGGCTCGGGACACAGCTCACCTAGCGCTAACATTGAGGGGAGAACCAAGAGGCGCGAAGGGGATTGTAGTGACTCATGTCCTGGGGATACGGGTGGTGATGGGGGGAGGAAGCCTGCTTTAAGAGAAGGAACTCAAAGGAAGAGGTCAAGTGACGTGAGAGGATGTAAATGAGTCGGCAGAGCGCAGGGGTTGGAGACGTGAACGTGGGACCCAATGCCAGGGTTTAATCCCAGCTCCACCACCTATGAGATGAGCGACCCCAGCCAGTCTGGGCCTCAGTTCCCTCATCTGTCAAAGGTAGAGAATGAAACTGCCGACCTCATGGGGCTGTTGTGAGGACTAAACAGAATCACGCGTTTGGTGGGTGTTCGTGATTGATACTGGGGAGGCCTGGTGATGGTGCAGAGTTGGAAGCTTGGGGTCAGTGAGACATTTTACTACTGAGATGTTTCTCCTCAATATGCTGTCAACAAGGAAAGAATACAAGTCACCACAGCTTTCATTTAGTGTTTAACAGTTTGCAAAGTACATTCATATGATTGTCTGCCTCTCAGACCACCTCCAGGCTGGGTGTTATAATTTCCATTTTGCTCGTTGGTGGCAAAGCGGTTCAAGCTTAGGTCTTCCACATCCAGATTCCATGCTTTTTTTTTTTAAACTGTACTACATGGATTGTGTCTGTTATCAGTTATAGATTTAAGGTGATTTTCCTGTGATTTTTCAGAGGCAAGTCAGTAAAGCTGTAGTATTTATTAGCTAAATAAAATTTTTTTTATTATTTTCTGTACTTTTCAAAATCCTTCAAGACTGCTTTGTTGTCTTTAGTGTAAATTGGCTTTAAAAGCAGCAGGAAGATAATGGGGCTATAAATATGTCAATTAACGCATCAGGTCTTTCCATGGCAGTATTTCTAGTAAGCTTTAAACAAATACTAACTGTAAACTCAGTATTCTGTGGCCTGGCTTTTTTGCAGTTTTCATTTGAATATAATACCTAGAAGTATTAGTCCTAAAATAAAAGAGCACAATCAGATGAAAATTACAATAGACTCTATCTGGGATAATTTTTGTTTGATAGACATTGTTTTGCTTCCTTTTTTGTTTGAATACGTTTTAAAAAACCACAGTGGCTAAAGTAGAAGCCCTTCTTAAGTAACCTAACTACATTCTTTGAGAGTTTCCTTTTATCTAATTCTGGGTAAATAAACATTTCACTATAATTTCAATTTGAGTTGGATAGCCTCCTTTTCAGGCATCATAGTTGAACGTACAATATATCATAGGCAAATAGCTATAATTAGACACTTTCAGCCTAGTGGCCATTCATAGCCAGTTAGCCATTTGTAGGTATAATGATCTAGTCACCTGTGCATGTACAAAGGGATGCCCAGTTACTGTTTTAATCTGTACTTTAAAAAATGTATATAGCTGTATATAAGTAGAGCATATTTGAAAATTAACATGTTTCTGTTACAGATAGATACACATATGCCATTGGGAACCAAACATTAGCTAGTCTTCGATAAGGTTTCTTATTCATTATCATTTTAATAGCATTTTAATTCTAGGCAACCAACCATTCATTAAATAAATCATTTTTTAAGGGATTTCAAAAAACCTTCAGTGGAAACTGGCTGTAATGTGAGGGAAACAAAAAAGGAGAGTCCTGGTTTCTCCCGGAGGCCTACGGAAACAGAATCTTTGGGAGTCGGGCCCAGGGATCCACTTTGCAGAAAAAGGCATCCCAGGTGATTTTATTGCAGGTGGTTCTTGGAACAACATACTTGAAAAACACTGTAAAGGGGAAAACCCGATGTAACACGCATGGATCAGAGTTTGGATACTTTGGTGGGTAGTGGGCTTTGGTTTTGGTGGATGGTTAGTGAGTTCAAATTAGTTTTTATTTAACGTTAAAAAACACACACACATGATTAAAACTTCAAACATTACCAAAAGGGAAAGGCTTCTTCCCACCCCCAAACTCCTCCCCGGCACTAAGGCAGTCAGTATTAAGCTTCTGTATATCATCCCCCTAAATAAGATGGAATATTCGAGTTAGGGATGGGTGAGATGATTTAAGGGACAATTGAAATAAATGTTGAAGAGGCAACTTGTTTGAAACAAGAGGTAGCTTGTTTCCTCTATTCTATCGTTAGGAAAAGAACAAGGCTCAAACAGTATTTAGAGGCAGGGGTCAGAGTATGCTTAGCTTTTAGGTTAATTTCAAAGAACGTTCTGGAACCTCATCAACAGCAGTAACAAATAAACTTAGTTGTTCAGGATCCCTTATTATAATAGACTTTTATCTAAATCCCATATAATTAGTGTCTTTAGCCAAATGGCGTAACATCCCATTCACAGACTGTAATACAGACATGGACTTGTACTTTCACTCAGTTCCAACCTGCAATGACCTTCCTCGTTTCCTCCACCAGCTCTCTTTACTCCTGCCTACAATTCTGAGTCCTGAACCTTACGTACCAAGCCCTTTGTATCCATTCTCATTTTCTTCTTTCTTTACGTGTTTCGATTTTTAGCCCCTCACCTTTAGAGCTGGAATGAGCCTATTTTTCCTTGTAAACCCTTCAGGAAGGGACATGCATTTTGTCCACTGCTGCAGCCCGGTCACTGCTTGGTAGGTGGTAGACATCCTTTAAGGCGTTTGACTGGAGTGGACTTCACCCATCACAGAGGGCTGTGACGTTCGCAAAGCAGCTTCGAGCACTGGCTCCCAGGCTCCGCCGCCGCTAACAGCCCCAACTCCCCAGGCAGATTCCCTAACCTCTCTGTTCTTCACTTACCCAATTTGTAAAGCGAGTAGGATACCTTTTATCTCATATAATCACCTGAGATCAAGTGAATGAAGTGCCTGGCAAACTCAGGCACGTCATCAGGGAGAGTAGGAAGGGCACAGGAGGGCAGAGCGGTTGGTGGGCTGCCCCGGCACTGGACTGTCACCGGATTGACAGCTCACGATAGACCGTCAGCGTCCCACTTCTCGGGAGGCACGTGCCGGGCACTGGGGACCTGGTATGGAGTGAGGCACATACACCCTGGCTTCCGGAAAGACCAGCAGTGGGACCGGGCGTGGGGGGCGGGAAGCAGGAGGCGTGCACGGAGTGTCTGCCGGGGGCTCCACGAGAATGCTGCGCTGAAGGATTTCGTCTCTTGGAGTGAGGGGTGCGGGAACACTGATTCTGGGCTTTGATGTCTTAGAGGTAGGTAATGGCAAATTTCTCACTGGGAACATAACCAGACTGTTTTATTTAGGATGCCATTGGACCTAAAAAAATAAAATAAAAAGAAAGTAACAACTGAAACACCTACCAGATAGCTTTCAGTTAAGAGTCCCAAATCGCTCTAAATGTAGTTATGTAAACGCTGTTAGCAGCACTGCTAAGACTTCAATTATGAGGCAAAGGGACTAGTAATTATGTAACATGTCTGGAGCACTTGGTTAAAACAGAGTTGCTGGGATTCTCTTTCCGGTGTTTAAACCGAGGCCCTAGAACGAGGCACCGCGTACAACGATGGGGGAAAACAGGCAACAGATACAAACCGGTGAGGAGAAAAACTCACCACGGAGGGGGGGGTTGATGTGCAGTTATCAACAAATTCAAGACATTTTGCTACTTCCCAGACCTGCTGGAAGTCAACTTCTACCACTGTTTTTGCAGAAACATTTGGCAAAGTTTGCAACAGACACGTACAAAGTAATCCTGCTCAGGAAATTCTAGTTAACTCTGGCTTTCCGGCTTGCTCGTGGATCCCACGTTTAGCCTCCAGCACTGACACTTCTTCTTGGCTCCTTTCCGGGTCTTAACTGAGGTAGAGTCTGAGTTTCTCATCCGTAGAAGAAAGCCCGTGCTGAAAGTTGCCATCAACCTAAATCCACCCTGCATACTACTTCCCCTAAATAAAAACAGGATCTCATGACCCCTGCCCATCACTTTGGATAGATGACTACGTAGCCCTTAGTCTTGTACCAGGCCGAACAGGAAACACACCCGGGGCTTTGACAAGAAGGCTCTCCAGAGCCGCTGCCACTCAGCCCATCGCTCCAACCACCACGACCTGACCAGACGGCCTGGCCAGCCGCCGCTGGCAGGGGCTCCAGCTGGGTCGGACGTACGTGCTCTACAAAGCCAGTCTGGGCCTCTGCCCGCCGCCCTCCGGTCCTGTTTTGCGTGTGCTGAAGGTTCATACGACCTCCCTGTTCCTCTTAAGTATTTCATCACTGTTCTGTTTAAAGCTGAAGACAGTTCCTTAGGAGAAAATAAAGAATGGG